ATTATTATTATTATTATTATTATTATTATTATTATTATTATTATTATTATTATTATTATTATTATTATTATTATTATTATTATAATTATTATTATTATTATTATTATTATTATTATTATTATTATTATTATTATTAATGCAACAGGTAATATTTTTATATTTTTGGTTTTTTCCGTCGTTTCAATATCACCATAACAAACATGTGAGCACCACGTGTCATTAACTTTTTTTTTTCGCTTTGGTGATTCCTCCTTTTTATTATTATTATTATTATATTCATTGTGATGTTGAGTTTAAAAGGAAAACATTACATCCCCCTCTTTTTTTAATTTTAAAATAAAAATCACAAACAAAAAGAAAAGCGAAACAACCACAAACAGGTGATAGATAACAAACGACAAGATTATAACATGAAAAAAATAATGTAAACAATTTATATTTAAATATAATAAAATTTAATAAAAAAAAAAAAAGAAATTTTTTAATCATTAACCATTTCCTGTAATAAAATCTCAACAGTCACACCCTTCCCCCCCCTCGTAAATTGTAGTAATAATAATAAAAATAATAATTAAACGTTATATTTACAGGAGTTGTAGGAGTAAGTAAGAAAAAATTAAAAACGATTTCGATTTAATTTAAAATAATAATAATAATAGTATATAAAAATCTTCGATGCAATTTAGAGAAAAAAGGAAAAAAGGAAAAATTACCGTAATTACCTTTTCTCAATAAGATTTTATAATAAAAAGAAAATTCAAAAAAAATTTTTTTTATTATGGGATCTCAACCATGATTTTTTATTTTTGGAGCGCACACGAGCTTGCCCCCCAAACGGTTTCAACCGATTTATTATTTATAACCCAATAATTTTAACGAATAGAATAATAATAATCAAAAATATTAAAAAAATGTCGGACGGATAATTTTCTACTACTATTATTATTATTATTATTATTATTATAAATTTAAATAACTGTAACGAGCGGTTGAAAAAAAAAAAAAAAATTGATAGAAGTATTAACTAACTAACTGACTAACTACTGATTCAACAAACCGAGAGTAAATTAAAATACATAATTTATTACAATTACGTTTGATGTAGTTGTTATTAATAAATCAACCAAAACCCCAACAACAACAACAAACAACAACCAACAAACCTAATTTCATAAAAAAACGTTAACGGTTAATAAGTTGGGAATTTAATAATTTTTTAACTAATGTAATGATAACTTATTCGCACGTGCACGCGCACGCATACCTATGTACGTATAAGGCACGGTTCTATGTTAGTATATATATATAGGTATCTATTTATTAATCGTTTTATTAATAAATAAAATCTATTAAAAAAGGGTTATCAAATGAAGAGACCTTTACTATGTAATTTAAAACCCGTTATTTATCTAATAGAAATTTTTTTTTCTTCCCTCTCTTTGTTCTTTTGTTTTATTTATTATTATTATTATTATTCGAGTTGCGAAATATCGATTTTAATTATTATTATTTATTAATAAAAAAATGATGGTGACATTTTAAAAAATTTTGAAACAATAATAATAATAATAATAATAAATATAGAGTTGGTCGGTCGATCGGTCGGTCGAAGTAAAAAAAAAATTTAAATTTTTTTTGTATCATTCTAAAGCCACGACAAGTTGTTTTTGACATTTAAATCAAAACATGTTTTTATTTTTTTTCAAGTTTTATTTAATGTCACGTAAGAATAAATTTAAAAAAAAAACCTGAATGGCAGTTTGCGTTTTAAGGTTTTCAAGGATTACATAAAAAACGGATTACATGTTATTATAAATCGTGAAATGATTTCATGCAGAAAGCAAAAAAAAAAAAAAAAAATTGTCATTTTGGAATTTCTCGAAATATTTATAATCAAAACGATGTTCGTTTTTTAAAAAAATGTCGTCTTGCAATCGTTTATATTTACCGTAGCAAAAAAAAAACGAAAAATTCAATAATAATTTTATAGCAAAATTTTCTCAAATGTATCAACGTCATCGTGTCATGAAAAATAATAATCATCGCGAATTGATAATTCACAAACCTAATTTCCAATAGGCATTACGTAATTCACGTAAGAAATCAAACGAGAAAAAAGGGAAAAAAACCCATACCTCCCGCCCCCATTTTTTCTATATAATAAAAGTTTGCTACATTTTATCGAAGGACAAAAGTGAAAGTTAATCATTTATTGCCAGTCTGTACATGGGAAGTAAAAGTTTCATTTAACTGGTTTACGAAAAAAAAAAAAAACATTCACTATTAAATAATAAACATTCTTCTGCTTTTTCTTCTGCTTTTTTTTAATTTCCTTAAATCTTACATACACTAATTTTAAATTTATTTTGTTTTTACAAAACTAAATATTTTATTCAAATCTTTAATTTTTTTGTGTGTGTACCTTCAAGGTAATTTCACCCACATTAAAAACGCGCCGATGGTGGCCTTTTTTAAACAAATTATCATTTCCTTAAGTAATTATTACTAAGTAATATTATTTTTAAAATGGATATATCATTGAAACCAACCCAAAAGAAATTATAA